AGATAATATCTATGAAAGGTTACAAGTTTATACAGTGGTTATAATGCGGAGATACCAAGCCGACAATAGACCAGATTCATTCAATAAGACAAATCCTCGAGAAGACATTAGAATTTAACAATAAAACCAATCAGTATTCGCCTACGTTAAGGCCGCATACGAAAGTCCCAGGAGAACAGTACTTTACCAATCAATACGTGTGTTTGGTATACGAATTTACGGATTAACGAGAATGACAATGTCTTATTTAAAAGCCAGCGTTAGGGTTAGGATACAAGCAGTGAATTCTAAAACTTTTTACATCAAGGTCACCAAAAACTGAACAGAATAGCGACGAATTTTAGAGCACGCCAAGCTTCAAAAAGGAATTGTAGAGCCAAAGATAATGATTAAGTTCATAGTTACTGTACTTAAATTATGTGTACTTTTGTTTCTATTGACACAATCTACAAAATCATTGGATACTAGCCCAGTTTTCTATTTAAATAGGTCAATACTAGATATTAGCCTTAAACATGCTTATTGTAAAAAAGAAAGTTCTTTTCTCTTTATCTTCAAACAAAACTTCATGTTAAAACATGGAAGATCTCAGGTAAGAACTAAAGCTTCAAGTTTGACCAATTTTTTCGCAGTTTTTTTCTTATCTGAAACTCACCTTAGGTGGATATATAACAAAACAGTTGGATAGAAAAATTTTAAAAACACGTTAGTTTTGTCATGGCAATAAAAAAATAGACAAAAGTAAAGAAAAACCGTATAGCCAGCGAGCAGTCCAAAGAAGGCTCAAACGGGAGAGATATCGCTAGTTTTAACTACTATAAAATCCTACTGTAAATTATAAACACAGCACATAACTAATAAATTATAAAAAAAGAAAAAAAATTAAAAATGGGCAAAGTTAGATAATACTGTCAATGTTATAAAGCCCCCTACTTGACAATAAAAACATAATTAAAACAGTGATACGCATAAGTAGATAAACTTACCCAACATGAATCGATTCCACCATGTTCGTAACCTGCGCAAATGTGGTTGTCTTTTATTTTAGTAGTTTTCCCCTGAGATTTGTACCATTCCCTACATTTTTCTAGACTAATAACAGCTACTTTAGCTTTTTGCATAATATTTGCACGCCCTCCTATAAAAAAATCTTTCATAAAAATTATAAAAGCAAAATTATTATTAAGAACTAGTGATTGAACTCGCGTTCAAAATGCAAAATTGCTGCGGTGGAATGAACTTATTATACTGTCGAATTCCTAAATTCCTTGATAGCCTAATAAAATTCTTATATGTAAACCAAGTAAATTTAAAATGACATAAAGCCTTAACACGTTCATTGCCAAGCGTATATTTCAGAGTACTTGTCGGAGCCGTATAGTGAAAACCACTTAACGACAGTTTGATTTCCTCTTTTTGGTTTTTTTCTAACGTCACGCCCGAAGGCATGATCGGCACTATCACAGAAAACGTACTTAGGTGCCGAATCAGGCGTGCTATGAAAGAACATAGGGATATGTATTACAGATATATTACAAAATAAACACAATACAAAGTAAAACTAGATTATAAAATAAACGTTCTCGAATAAAAACATTCCAAAATTTAATTGTGTGTTGTGTGCATAATCCAAAAAATAACCAGGTTCTCCAGGACATTGTTTGGATTCATCACTTTCACTAACTCCAACAAAATCAAGACGAATCGGAATCGTCTATGTAATTATCAGAAGAACACTCGTTTTCTAAGTAATAATGTTATTATGTTTCGGTCAGAGGCTTTCTTGACAATTTCCCCTTTTTAGGCTTAGACGGACCAGCAACACAGTCATACTTATTCACGTCACACAAGGCAAAAGCAAAGTCTGAAGTACGTGCCGACACAATATCAACAGTTCGACTGCGGACCCGGCTGAAATAGTTTACTTAAAAGATAGTGTTGTTGGTCATACCTAGTAGAGTGATCGGCACGTGGTACATGGTTGTCGATCACGCATAGGGGCGTGAGCCCCTATGCGTGATCCCCCTTAAAACCAAAAGTCTGGTTCCGCTACGTTGATGATACATTTATCATCTGGCCCCATGGTCAACATACCCTTTCTCCCTTCCTAGATCATCTTAACTCACAACATCGAGTATAAAATTCACAATGAAGTAGAAAATAATCGGTCCCTTCCCTTTCTCGATGTGTTAGTCACCTCCAAGCCCAATGGCCGATTGGGTCACTCTGTTTATAGAAAAAAGACTCACACGAATCGTTACCTACATGCTTCATCACACCACCATCCTGCCCAAAAGAATTCTGTGATCAACTCTCTCATCCATCGGGCCATTTCGATTTCTGAACCTGACAACCTTAGAGAAGAACTTGGCCATCTGCAAAAAACCCTTGTCGCCAACGGTTACTCCAAGTCCACAATTCAAAATATTACACACCGACATCTACATCCCCCTTTACACCCTAGGACGACAAATTCAGAATCTTCGGGTAATACTCCTGTGGCTTTTCTTCCGTATATTCGAAGTGTCACTGATAGGATTGGCAAAATTCTTCGCAAAGAAGGTATCAGGACTACTTTTCGACCACCCAAGAAAATCTCACAATATCTACCCTCTCCTAAGGACCCATTACCGCCCCTATCTTCCTGTGGTGTCTATTCTATTCCTTGTTCATGTGGACATGTGTATATTGGCGAAACTGGTCGTTCCGTCAAAACTCGGATTCAAGAGCATCAAAGATGCATTCGATCAGGTCTTTTCTCCCATTCTGCAGTTGCAGAACACTGCCAAGAAACCGGTCATTCCATATTGTTCGAAAAAACCCATATTATTTCTAAGAGCCCCTTCTTTTATTCCAGGAAAATCCGCGAATCTCTAGAGATCCGAAAAAATCCACATAATATCAATCGAGAGGAAGGATACTACTTGTCTCCCATCTGGAATCTCAGTCTAGAGCCGCCGTCCGGTCCCGCTACCACGATGCAGCCACATGATTGGCCAGCGCGCGCTTCTTGACGTTCGCGCCACGGAGTGTGCCGATACGTCCCGACACGACAGGTCACCGCGACTATAAATAGAGCGGTAGCGGAGTAATCGTCGGATTCACTCCCCGCCTCTCGACGCGTTAGTGTTCTGAGCTGTTGGACGTGAATCCCTGTCCTGGCATTTGGTTTTCACCTCTGGCTGCGTTGAGTAGTTGAGTTACTGTGACCAAATGCCCATCTTGGTAGTTAGTATTCGCCTCTGGTTGCGTTGAGTAACTGAGTTACCGTTGCTAACTACCCATCTTCCTGTCTTCTTTTTCTTTTTCTTTGTTCTCCTGAAGAAGCTACATACAATTGTAGCGAAACGTCGAGATGAACCCACTTTTGGGTCACTCACAAATGACACGGTCCAAACCCGGAAGACGAATAAACTATAATTTTGATATATTTGACCTAGATCTTGTAGGCCAGCAGACCATAGTGCTACAACACATTTTGAGAGTGATGTTTTTACCCTAGAAATATCAAATTTTGATTGCCTCTGTGTGTTCCATGTTATATGTTTGTGTAAAATAATTATCAAAAAAAGTGAATAGGATAGAAAACAAGTATATTACAACAAAATTTAAAACAATCAACACACTGAGGTCCATGCTGTCCAAAACCAAACCCAACTACACACAGAACAGATAAAAAACTACATCTATAAAATATCCTGCGAATGCAACAATTTCTATGTGGGAGAAACAGCAATACCACTTAATGTCGTGATAAACATATGACAACGTGAAAAATACATCAAGAACAGACACTTCGAGAAGTCCCAGAATACAATGAAAAAATGCGTCAATAATTATGAAAGAAACAGGTATAAAAAAGAGTCTGAACGAAGAAAAATGTGTAGCCCATTAGCAGAATGTAGCCGGCTTTGGTTGCCAATATTAAAGAAAGAAGTCAACAACAAGAATATACCAATAATAGCCGAGTAATAGGAGTTGAAACACATCGTCTACAATCTAACACACAACACATGTATTATGCAATACAAAATATACACAAAATCAATCATTTTTTTTTGCTCAATTATATTGCAAAAACTACAACTACGATATATTTTTTACGTAAACATATAACATGGAACACACAAAAACAATCGGCATTTGGTAGTCCTAGGGTAAAAACGTCACCCTCAAAATGTGTTGTAGCCACTATATATGCTGTTGACCATGTTGACCTACAAGATCTAGATAAAGCATGTCAACTTTGAAATGACATAACCAATAACAAAATCTTTGGTTATAGTGGAAATGGAAATCGAAACGTCAAATATTAGTTAATTGAAAACGTGATTTTCGTCACAATTACAACCAATAATTGTGGCTTAATACCACAAAAACATAATATTTAACTTAAAACAATCCATGTTAACCAGTTTGCCAAAATTAAACGTAATGAATGTAAAACTTATTCCCGTTAGTGCCAGACAGCAGCGTTTTTTATGCGCCAGAAGTACACACAGGAAATCTTGAAATTTTTGTATTCGGTGCAATCAATACGTATGTGCAGAACACTCAAAAAATATAAATTTGTACCAAGTGTGACAATTAAATTAGTATTTAAAATGTCACAGTATTCTATTTTTTGTCTTAATTATTTTTTTAGATTTTATAATTATTTTATATTAAACAAAAAGAGAAATCATGCGATTTCTACCTGGCGAAATCGAATTCAAATATCAGCCACCGTGCTTCCTAAAACTTGCGAAGCAAACAGCTTGATGAATAAATCGGCAAGGGAATCTAAAATTGCATTCCAAATGCCGTTCATCATGGCCAATATTCGTAGTGAATTCGATTTCTGGTACTCCAAACGAAGTAAAGAAATAAAACACAATGACGGTATTAGATTTTGATTCGATACAGAGCAGCGACAAGCCGCATATACGTATTTCGACCTCTTTAGGTCTCCTCAGTACGGTATAGCCACTACTCCGTATCGAACCAAAATATTTTCCCGTCGTAGACCATAGTTATTAAAAATAACTATGTACAGACGTAACTACGCCATCTAAAAACAAAAAGAGAAATCATACGATTTCTACCTGGCGAAATCGAATTCAAATATCAGCCACCGTGCTTCCTAAAACTTGCGAAGCAAACAGCTTGATGAATAAATCGGCAAGGGAATCTAAAATTGCATTCCAAATGCCGTTCATCATGGCCAATATTCGTAGTGAATTCGATTTCTGGTACTCCAAACGAAGTAAAGAAATAAAACACAATGACGGTATTAGATTTTGATTCGATACAGAGCAGCAACAAGCCGCATATACGTATTTCGACCTCTTTAGGTCTCCTCAGTACGTTAGAGCCACTACTCCGTATCGAACCAAAATATTTTTCCGTCGCAGACCATAGTTATGGTCTATACATAGATACGGAGTAGTGGCTATACCGTACTGAGGAGACCTAAAGAGGTCGAAATACGTATATGCGGCTTGTCGCTGCTCTGTATCGAATAAAAATCTACTACCGTCATTGTGTTTTATTTCATATTATTTTTCAAATGTCTCTCATCGTTTGTTATTGTTTACAGCATATAACACGTATGACGAATTCCACAAAAAATCCAGTGTTCTGATGCCAAAAACATTGAAATTTGAAAGCACATTCTTGAGACCATTTTTTTTTTATTCTTTAGTACTTAAAACTGAAGAAAAAAATGGTGCCGCCACCCGGAACGAGGGTAATTATGTCTTTTTTGCGAGATTTCAAAAAGTGAATGAGTGAAATAATAGTGATTTTGGAGTGTGAACATGTTGCGACTTAAAATCACTCTAGAATCTGTTCAAAAGCACCCACAAACCTTTTTAAAAACAAAAATGAAGGTAACCTTTTATACTTTTAACAACAGCATTATTTTATACTTAAAATATTGCTTTTGTTTTTTTTTTTTGAAACTATCAGACAATGTCAATATCCCAAACGAGAATATTTTTCTGCAACAAGATGGTGCTTAACTTCACGATGCTCGTGTGATAAGGCAATAAATTAATAATGTGTTTCCCAGAATATAAATTGGAAGGCGTGGTTTTATCGAATGACCCCCGCGACCACTCGACATGAATATTTTTAGACTATTTCCTGTGGGATCAC